GTGTGTAAGTGACCTCATTGTCTCAAAAAATAATCCACTCTTTTTCAAAATAAAATGAAATAATTATTTCTGCTTATTATCATGAATTTTAGGCGCGGTAAATTTTATGCGCACGCGACGTCGTTATCTTGAAAAATAATTTTTTAATAAAAATTGTGTTAGAAATAAATGTGATATTTCTGCTTTTAGTAAAATTGTAAGATTTCTTTCTACTGTTTTTAAATATTTAGACATTGTAAATTTCATGTGCAAATGACTGCCTTATTATCTGAAAATTGATATTTTTGCATTTGATTATTGCAATGTTGTGAAATGTTTATTTGTAAATTAACATCCCATAAATTGTGATAATTCCGTATTCTTGAATTTCTATAAGAGTTTTTCTATACATATTAGATTGGCAATTATGTTAGAATATCTTTACGAACAGCTACCTTTCTAAATTTGAGCCCAAAATATTTGATTGGTTATTTTTGAAATTTTATTGAAAGTGACTGTTATTAATGGTGTCAGTGAGATTCATATTAATGATTTCAGTGATATGTTGAGTACATGATATTTGCTGCTTTCGAATGTTTAAAGAGATTTAGAAATAATTTAAGAATGCAAGTGGACTCATCCGGTTCGCCGGTGAGGTTTAAGTGGACCTACCCGGGACGCCGGTAGGGATTAAGTGGACTCATCCAGTACGTCGGTGAGGTATAAGTGGACCTACAGGGATTAAGTGGACCTATCTGGGACGTCGATAGGGATTAAGTGGACCCATCAGGATGCTGATGGGGTATATAGGTGACCTACTTGGGACGCCAGTAGGGTATTTTGTGAAATCCTTTTAATTATGCACTGCCGTTAAAGTGTTATGTGCATTTCAATCATTCGGATTATACTTAGTTATGCATTTATTGAAAGTTAAACTGTTGATGCATTTCTGTTAATAGATCTTCTTTTTGAAAATATTGATATCTTTCAACCGTGATTATTTTTTAGGATTATGATGATCACTTACTGAGTAGCCAAACTCATCAAACTATGGTAAACATTTTTTCTGGATAACTTGCGGATTCATTTTGAGTGCTAGTCAAGATCAACCTTGGAAGTTACCGTTGTTGTGTTAGCTTTCTTTATTTACTTTGTAAGACCTCGCCACTGTAAATTTGTCCTATCAATAGATGTATATATGTTTTGGACTGTCACATCTCAAGAATATCTGTATTGTAAATTCTTGGGGTGTGACTAGCTGTTTCAATGGCATCAAGTTTTAAGATCTTGGTTCTACTGTTATGTTGATTTTATTTTGAAATATATGTTATTGTAATAAGACACTTATAAGTGATCTTTTACCAAAACAAATGGGATAAATAAATAAAAATATTATTTCTCGCTAAAAGTTTACATAGGTCTTTCTTTCATAATCTATGATAGATCTTTCTATGTTTTAAGCTAAAGTTGTGAGTAGACCCAGGAGCTTGTTCAACATTGAGCATTCAAGAATTCAAACCATCACCAATAAGGCTTTTGATGGGAGATCTAGAAGAAGGGTCTCCTACAATAATGACCTTGGGTTAATTATTCAGAGGGACAACGCCAATCTGGCCATATTAGAAACAATAACATCCTCAAGATCCAAATATTAAGGCCTTCGATGCAAAATTCCAGTAAATGACTATTTATTTTATCTTTACCTTGTGCTTTTCCATCTGAAGATCCCTTGTAAGAAAGCTTTTTTGTGCGCTACTCCAGGCTTAGTTTTGATTAGAAAATCATAGATATGATCCACTATACTATGTATTAGAGACAAAAGACCTATACGCTAAATCTGAAATACAAATGAGAGGTCCTAGCTCGTCAAGCCTGAAGCCGTCGTCAATTTCAGTTGCATGTACTATGGTAAGGTAACCAAATCCTTGATTTAGTATTTTTTTTAGCCGCATAATCAAGTACAGTTTAGAAGCATGCAATTTTGTTTCCGTTTACAAATGAATTGAATAGTGAACAGGGGGCAGCCAAATTCCAGCATGTGTCCAGCATGCTAACCATAAAATGACCAAACAAAAAAGAGCCTCCCAAAATTCTTAAATATTAGATTGAACTGGTGACATCCAACTGAAGGATTGATACCCTATAATTACTTCCTACAAAGACCTAGAGAGGTTCACCTAAATTAAATTAGTTAGTCCAAAGCCAGGAAATTTAGCCTCCTTACAAATGTGTTTGGATGTTCCATTTAATAACCTTACCTTTACACCAGAAGAATGACATTCCTAGCTTACACCACCATTTTATACCAGTTAAACAGTCCATGTAAACTAATCATAAAGCAGACAATGAATACAACTAATCTATATTATACCTCTGAAATATTTACAGAACAAGTCTCATCATACACCATATTTAGCGTCTTTTAAAGAAAGTAATATTACTTTATTCATACATATATTTTATAGGTAGCATCATATGATTCTGATTTAAAGATAACTTATTACCAGAAAATGGTTTTGTTTCATAAAAGAATAACTATATGTCAATGACTTAGTGGGGCTTAAAACAATCTAATCTTTTGGAGAAATAATATACGGAATTTCCATTTACCTGCCAGACACTAAAATGCAAGTGATTTTTTATTCCCTTTACAAATTTAGAACTGAGGTTGCAAGTTAAATTTCCAATGTTGGGAGTCAAAGTTGGACAGACCAACAGTATTCTGAAAACAATATTCTAATACGGTTGCAGCCCGTAATTTGAAGTTTGAACAGTATGATCTAACAAAGCCTCAATCTAGAAATCAATCCCGAACTTCATTACGTCTGAATCCAAAGAGTTTGATCCCCCACAATCAATGGCATACCATACATAAAACAAAATCACAATAAAAATAAAAATAAGAAAACAAAAAAAAAAAGGATTTTTATGATTAATGTACTTGACTGCAGAAGAATTGCATTTGCTTATAAATTTTTCAATTTGTATAAGTGGAGCGACTCAAGATGACAAACGTAGAGATCGCCTAAGAAAGAATTAGATATAGATATAGATATAGATATAGATCCTTAACAAAATTGTTGGGTTTGGTGATAGCTAAATCACTATACTCATATTTTCTTCTAGAGATTAAGGTATTATGGGAAATATAAAGTTGACTTTCTTGGGTAGCAAGAAAGTGATATCTTTATAAGAGAGAGAAGGAGGACATAATACACATCCTTTGAAGGTCACCCTTTTGGGCTTATGAGAATGGATCTCCAATATGGAGATGGGTTTCCAAGAGAGAGAGACATGGCCTCCAAGAGAGAGGTGGTATTCCCATGAGTTTTGGGTTGGTTACCTTCCACTTCTAGAAAGAAAAAATCTCTATATTGCTCTCAAGGTTATCTTTTTAGTAGCGGTACTGCGGTGGGCAAGAGGATGTTGATCAACGGTGTTGCTCGGTCGGGAGAGAGAGTTTAAAAGAGAATATCGATGATGGTCTTTTACCAATGCTAAGAGATAGGTATTATCTCTTGTAACCCAAAACTGTAATCTTCATTGTGATAGTGGATTTCTAGTTGCCGAGGTCATGGATATCGCCCTACAAGGTGAACCACGTAAATCGTGTGTTGTTGTGGTGTGTTTTTTTTTTCTTCTTTATTTCTCGTACTCGATTTATAGTTGTATTTATTTGCTTCGCATTTAGTCAATCATGTACACGATCTTGGGTGGGATCTTGCGTGGGATCCTGGTGTGTGGGGCAATTATTAGAAAAAAGATACAATATTTTTATGCAAAATGGTAGCCTTTACTTGAGGGACCAAAGAAACAATTTGATTGCCAAAGTGATTATGACTAAAAATAGAATGTTTCCAATGAATATCAAAAATGAAAATTTGAAATTCCTCAAATCTATTTTGAATGATGATTCCTGGTTATGGCATTTTCGGTTTGGGCATCTTAATTTTGATGGTTTGAAATTGTTGTCAAAAGAAAAAATGGTGAATGTTTTGCCATGGATAAAGCAACCCGATGGAGTACGTGAATGGTGCATTGTAGGAAAGCAACATCGAGAAAGCTTCAAGAGTAGAAAATCAAGTAAACCACAAAAGCCTCTCCAACTCATGCATGTAGATGTGTGTGGACCACTTGAGCCATCTCACATGGAAAAAGTCACTACATTCTAACATTTATTGATGATTATAGTAGCAAAACATGGGCTTATTTCCTTAAAGAAAAATAGGAAGTTTTTGAAATGTTTATGGAATTCAAAGCTTTTGTAGAGAAACAAAGTGGTTTTCAAATTAAAGTGATAAGATTGGATAGAGGTGGAAAATATAATTCTAAAATTTTGTAAAGAACATCGAATTTTCCACTAAATGACCTTATCTTACACACCCCAACAAAATGGTGTGGTGGAAAGATAAAATAGAACTATTTTGAATATGGCAAGATGCATGTTAAAAGAAAAAGAAATGCCAAAAGAATTTTGGGCTGAGGCCGTTGCTTGTGCGGTATATTTGTTGAATAGGTGTCCCATAAAATATTTATGGTATAAGACACCCAAATAAGCTTGGAGTTCCTACAAGTCAAATGTAGAGCATCTAAGAATATTTGGGTGTGTGGCTTTTGCTAAAATTTCTGAAGAGAAAAGGGCAAAGCTTGATGACAAATCAGAAAAGTGTGTATTCATTGGCTATGTAGAAAATATAAAGGGTTACAAGCTATACAATCCCATTATTAAAAGGTATTCTTGAGCAGAGATGTGATCTTTGATGAAAATGGAATATGGGATTGGAAAATTAATCAAGAAAAAAAGACTATTGATGTTGATGAAGTGGAAGAAAAGGGACAAGTTGAGCATCAAGAAGCCTCTTTGAATCCTATTCATGATGCTTCTTCTAGTGGCCAATCTACTTTAACTAGTAGTTCATCTCATAGGCCCATGAAAACAAGAAGCCTTCAAGAAATTTATTTGGTAACTCGTAGGCTTGATGTTGAAAATGAATATCTCACATGGCTTTGTCTTTATGCAGATTTGGATCCTATTTATTTTGATGAAGCATGTAAAAGTAAAGTGCTGAAAAAGGCCATGGATGAAGAGATTGAAGCAATTGAGAAGAATGACACATGGAAGCTTACAATATTTCCTAGGAGCCACATGTCAATTGGTGTGAAATGGATTTACAAGACAAAGAGAAATGCTAATCGGGATATCGCAAGGTATAAAGAAAGGTTAGTTGCTAAAGGGTGCAAACAAAGACCCGGAATTGACTATGATGAGGTACTTGCCCCCGTTACCCATTTGGAAACTATTAGTTTAATTATTTCTCTTACAGTCCAAATGAAATGGAAATTGGCATTTTTTAATGGTGTTCTTGAAGAAAATGGGTCTATTGAACAACCAATTGGCTATGTGAAAAACGTCAAGAAAGTAAAGTTTACAAATTGGAACATGCTTAGTATGGTTTAAAACAAGCACCTAGGCCATGGAATTGTAGAATTGATAAATATTTTCTTGAAAATGGTTTTTTTAGGTGCCCATATGAACATGCCCTATACATAAAGAAAAATGAAAATGGACAAATTTTGCGTGTTTGTTTATATGTTGATGACTTGATCTATACGAGAAATAACCCAGGCATGTTTAAAGAACTCAAATAATCCATGATTAAGGAGTTTGAAATGACCAACATTGGGCTCATGTCTTATTTTCTTGGCATTAAAGTTAAACAAATAGATGGAAATATTGTGTCACAAAAATCTTATGCAAAAGAAATTCTCAAGAAATGTCAATTGGAGAATTGTAATCCTGTAAATATAACGGTAGAAAGTTGTCTCAAATTGAGAAAGAAGGTGATGGAGAAAGCGTTGATCCTACATTTTTCAAAAGTTTAGTTGGAAGCCTCTGATACCTAACAGGTACAAGACCGAATATTCTTTATGGAGTTGGTTTGGTAAGCTGGTAAATGGAGACTTCAAATGCCTCTCACTTGAAAGCAGCAAAAGGGATTATCCGGTATATCAAAGGCACATTTAACCATGGTTTATTTTATTCATGTTCTAATGTTTGTGATCTTGTAGATTTTGTTGATAGTGATTGGGCCGGAGACTTCGATGATAGGAAAAGCATTTCCGGGTACGTGTTCTACATGGAGAGTACGGCATTCACATGGTCATCAAAGAAGCAACCGATCGTGGCACTATCAACTTTTGAGGTCGAGTATGTAGCCGCCACATCAAGTACTTGTCATGTATTGTGGCTACGAAATTTTCTTAAAGAACTTTTAAAGCCTCAAGAGACTCCCACCAAAATCCATGTAGATAACAAGTAGGCAATTGCATTGGCAAAGAACCCGATGTTTCATAAGAGAAGCAAGCACATTGATACACGGTTCCATTTCATTCAGAACCAAGTGAAAGAGAAGAAGGTTAAACTTGTTTATACAAAGACACAAGATCAAGTTGCCGACATTTTTACAAAACCTCTGAAACATGAATTGTTTCAAATATTGAAAGTTATGTTAGGAGTAACTAAGTTGGAAAATCAAGCTTATGGGGGGATGTTAACAATAAGCTTGATTATGTTCAAGGGTATTTTGGGCATTAGATTTAAATGTAAGGGACGTTTTGGGGAAGTTATGTTAAAGGTTATTTTGGAATGATGAAAAAGAATTGTGTAGAGTTCCAAGGTCACAATTTCAAGATTGAGAGAGAGGAATTCCAAGATTGAGAGAGAAGAGTCTCAAGATTGAGAGAGAGGAGTCCAAAGCATGCAATGCATGTAAATTTGAATTGGGAATGGGTGAAGTCTAGAATTTTCTTGAATAATCTTGTAATTTCGTCCTAGCATATAGGTTGTAAGTTGTGAGAGGGAAAAGATCACTAGAATGGTGTAGAAGGAGTCAAGAAAGCTCCTAAGTGGTTTATATATACATGTATTATGTTTTTGTACAAGTAGAGTGAAGAAATTGTGTTGCATTGAGCTCTTTTGTGTGCATAACTACAAATTCAAGTAAGCCTTCTTCCTCCCTATTTTTTGACCTCACTTTCTTCCCATCCAAATGACCATAGGAACGCAACCAGAACCACCACCTTGGCAACAACCAGCAACATCCTTTGGCCTTGACGGCATCGCAACACCTGATCCAATCGACCCGTTAGAAAAAATGAAGAAGGTATACAAGTATCCCAAATTGGTTTTAAAATGACTGATCTACTTGCTCCTTGATTTGAATTAGGCAAGCTCAGGGTATCGGGTTGGCTGGGCTTCAAAGCCTTTCCTTTAGTCTTGTATGGTAATAGATGCTACTGTGCAATATATTCAAGCTTCAGTTCATGCGGAATTACAACTCCAAACTTCAACAATTGTACCAAAACTAAAATTAGATCAGATGCGAAAAGAGCCACCAATGGAAGAAAAGATAAGGAAAAGTGAACATGAGATCTAAGAAAATGCAGAGAAGAGACATCTTTCAAAACTGCAAGCAAAGAATGATCTTTAACAATTCAGTGGTGCTGGTTAGATTTTAACTGAATGAAATTTAAATTTGTCTCATTAGTAAATATGGAGCTCCTCATAACACCCTGATTTCATAGTTGGTTGCACAATGCAATATGCATTTCAATGCTTATTCTAAGGCACACTCAGGCACAAAGGATGTGATGCCTTCTAACTGAAGCCACACAGCAGTAGTCATTAGTAGAGAAACTTCATGACAATATATCCATGAAGAGTAGATAATGAATGTCTCCATTGGGAAGAAACAATGTTTTTGCATGATGATTAACTGTAAAATTTTAATTGACATTTTCAAAATAATAAATACATGGCTGCATATGATCATGTCTAATATTCGTCGCAATATACACCTGATGTATTATTATGCCTCTATGGAGTAATACTAGGAGAGACTAACTTTTATCCATTATAACAAGTAACAAGTATTGTCCTTGATGCACTTGTTGGGTTTGGTGATAGCTAAATTACATACCCATATTTTCGTCTAAAGATTAGGGTATTATGGGAAATAGAAAATTGACTTTCTTGAGAAGCAAGAAAGTGATATCTTTATAAGAGAGTGAAGGAAGCAATAATGCCCAGCCTTTTGAGGGTCACCCCTTTTGAGGTTGTGGGAATGGATCTCCAATATGGAGATAGGTCTCCAAGAGAGAGAGACATGGCCACCGAGAGAGAGGCAGTATTCCCATAAGTTTTGGGTTGGTTAACTTGCACTTCTGGATAGAGAAATTTTATCGATTGCTCTCAAGGTTAGCTTTCCGATGGTGGTATGCGGTGGGAAGAGAATGTTGATCGACGGTGTTGCTCGAGCACAAGGTGTGTACGGGGTTAAGGCTTGTATTAAGAAAAAGAGAAATGACGAAGTTTGATAGATACATGGTTTGAGGTCGAGAAATATAAAGGCGAAGTGTTTGTGAAAATTCCACATAGAGGCAAGTTGGAAGAAATCAAGAAATATCCATAGTTTGAGGTGGAGAAATATGACGACAAAGTGTTTATGAAAATTCCACAATGGAGGTAAGTATGAAAAAATCAATAAATCTATTCAATGAAAGTTGTCAAGACAATTATGGTGATTTTGCTATCAAGGTGGAAATTGTTGGGTTTAGTGATAGTTAGATCATCATACCCATATTTTCTTCTAAAGATTAGGGTATTAAGGGAAATAGAAAATTGACTTTATTGGAAAGCAAGAAAGTGATATCTTTATAAGAGAGTGAAGGAGGACATAATACCCATCCTTTTGAGGATCAGCCCTTTGGGACTTATGGGAATGGATCTCCAATATGAAGATGGGTCTTCAAGAGAGTGAGACATGGCCTCCGAGAGAGAGGCGGTATTCCCATAAGTTTTGGGTTGGTTAACTTTCATTTCTGGAAAGAGAAAGTCTCTCGGTTGCTCTCAAGGTTATCTTTCCGATAGCGGTATGCGGTAGGAAAGAGGATGTGGATCGACGGTGTTGCTCGGTTTGGAGAGCGGGTTTAGAAGGGAAGATCGGTGATGGTCATTTACCAATGTCTAGAGATAAATACTATCTCTTGTAACTCAAAACTGTAATCTTCATTGTGATAGTGGATTTCTAGTTGCCGAGGCCGTGGATATAGCCCTACGAGGTGAACCACGTAAATCGTGTGTTGTTGTGGTGTGCTTTTTATGTTTGCTTTATTTCTCGCACTCGATTTATAGTTACATTCATCTACTTCACATTTAGTCAATTATGTACACGATCTTGGATGGGATCCCGGTATTTGAAATTCCCAGTTCCACGAGCTAAGGGGTTGACGTGATCCCTACAGGACTGTGTACTCACTATATAGGAAAAATATAGCAATCCATAACATCAATAAAGTGAGTCCATCATCAAAGAGGAAACACAAAATCCTGCTCCTATTATATGCGACTTCAGCACCTATTATGTAACTATATAGTGCTTGCACGAGGAGATAACGCAAACTATACCCTTGGGGCTGCTAAATAGAGGCATGTGACATGCACCATACCATCACAGAATAGATCACTTACCTACTACAATGAATGAAGAAATATGATTGAGGCATGCACCCTAAGGAACACCAAAGAAAAAATCAATCATGTCTCATACAATTTGACAAGAACAATAATTCAACTGATGGACCCACAATCCCAATAAATCCCTCGATACAAATAATTTCCTTCGACCCTATACCCGAGTTCCCTGCCATTATAATTCAATTAACAACATAGACGAATCCTATATTGCTATAAACTCTGGTTAGCCCCTCTGTAAACTCTTTATTGATCGCATTCCACCTCCATCCACTGACTCAATTGCCATATTTACCTCTAAAAGCTACCATGCCCCTAGGCATAATCTTATCCCATAGTTTCATGTTTTCCTTCCATTTTGTCCTGAATGCTGCAACTGAATTAACGCTGTAGTCGTATTCACTCGCAACACTCGTCTCAAACTCATTTCCAAGCTCACTCGACGAGTGGAGTGTGCATTCTGAGCTTACGCACTGCACTCGCTGTCTACTACTAACTGCAGTGCGATTTATTGCTTATGCCAAAGCTAATATCATGATAAGTTTTGGCATATTTCAGGAGAAGTAATTACTAAAATGATCATTTCTGAAGTTCAATACTCATGCTCATATTTCAATCAGAATTTGTGAAAGATGTTTAGGACTAAAATTTACATAGACTACAAAACTGATATCCAACAAAGTTTAAGGAGCATGATGACAAGTATATATCAAATGAATAAAGCCATTAATTCATTCTCACTTTATTCATTAAAGATGTCACTGGGATCAGCTGCTGAGACTGCTTTAATGCCAGATTCTCCATTCCAGGAGTTTCTTTTAATGACTGTAACAAAACAGAGCAATTCAACAACAAGCCAAGGTCTTTCCAATAAAGCTAAAATCAAGCACTCAAACATAGAAACAACCTGAGGAGAGGCATGGATTTGCACAGCGCTCTAAGTTACTGTCACTGCTAGAGAAAGTGTGGCATTATGAGATGAGGGACCATGTAGAACCACAAGGGTTTGATTACATGAAGATAGAGCATCAACTAATGCAGATTTCCATTCAATGGTTCCCAAGCTATGTCCCCCATTTTGTCGAGGAGTTAAGATAAAAGGTGCAGATGCAGAATCTGAAGCAAAGGATTGTGAATGTGTTATCATGGGATCATCCCCATAGCCAAACCTCCTTCTGGGAATGTCATGGGAATTGAGCTTATTTGTCTTGTCTTTCCCAGTGAAACTGGGCATCCTTCCACCAACATTGGCATTTGGATGTTGATGCGTTCTTGAATCGCTAAACTCCCTTCCAATATCATTAGATCTTTTCCAAGATGAAGATGAAAGTGGTCTCTCCGATGAAACAGACCCATCTAACTTGATTTCCTCACGTTGTGGAACAAATTTCCTGGACTGATTTTGCCATTTTCTTGATGGGGATAGGTCAATTAAATCATCTGCAACCAATAACAGGGATCCAGAAAATAACACTACAGTTATCATGGAAAAACTTGAGATGGCATTAAAGAAAATAATTAAGAGTATTCTAATATAATGAAAGTAGCCATTTGATGTTATGGCCTATAGATATGCATGGAAACTTCAATAAAATTAAATTGGTTGGT